AAATTTTGGGTAAGTTGAAAAGGGTACACCTCCCCCCCCCCCCCCCCCCCCAAGTAGTCCTGTTCAAACTTACCACCCTTTTGTTTGACCCCTCCCGACTTTTTTGTGAGGAAAAGGTCCACTCAGGGTAAAATTTGATCTAGGTACATGAAGATTTTGTGATTAAAGGTACATTTTTTCCAATAAAGAACCCCCTCTTTAAAATTACTGACCTGATACAAGATGTTATCAGGGGCCACAGTAATGAAAAAAAAAATGTAATTTATATTTTTAAATGTTTGTTACATGAGGTGGTATTTATTCAATCAGTGGAAGTATTTGGATGATAACATTCACATGTGGGAGGCTAAGATGTATAAGTAGCTGTAAATAATATTTCACATCTAGCAGTTCAAATTTTAATTTCCTTTGTTTCAAGCTATTAATCCGTTAGAGCTTGATGACATTGTTATGAACCTTTTACATATGCCCATGACGAATGTCCTAAACTTATATAATTTTGTACGCTTAATTCAAGCGTGGGCTCAAAATAGGACATTACGTTTTCGTCTAACTTGGTGGATAACGCAAACCATAGACTCCACGGTTCGTGTCAGATTTACGTAAGGTCGCGCAAAGAAAACCCAAGTCCACATAATGACCAGTTTAATGATTTATTAGTTGACGCTAGGTAGCTACATATTCTATAAGTGAAGCCTCCAACTCTTAACCCGTCAGCTCCGTACTCCGTCGCTTCCAATCTCCTCCTCCGGTGCTTCCTTCTACATGTCTCCCATCTATCTCTCCCCTGTTCACCATGAATATAAGTTCGTCGGCGCAGCCGACAGGGAAGTTACGAAGTCCGAGGTCTTGTGACCACGGCTTCTTTCAACCCTCTTACTTGCCTTTGGGACACTGGTGAGGAAATAAATAAATAAATAAATAAGGATTGTAAGATAGCTGTTTTGTTTTACTTCTTCTCCACATCATTTTTGGTGCCTATATTCGAGGGTTTTTGTGAAGACCCTTATATGTATTTTAGGGCTGTTGGTAATGTCCTAGTAGTGTTTTGCTGGCACTCTTTTGCAACAGTTGTCTTTGTGTTAACAGCTCTTCCATTAGGCAGCTGTTGGCGAGTCGTTTTAGTGTTTCTTTACCCAGATGGTGAAGTCGGGTTGATATCATTTCCATTCTCGCTTTTTCATGTAGACATTCAATTTTGGTGTGCTGGGGCATTTTCAAAGCTATTCGGAGGGCTTTGTTCTGTACTTTTTGCATTTCCGTTAGTCTTGACTTGCTGGTGGTTGCGAGAATAACAGCTCCGTATTCCCCTGTTCAATTCTCATCACTTACTTTAAATACTATTTTGTTATCTTTACATGGATCCAGTGCTGCACTAGTATGAGATTTACGTCAAACATACTTACCGTTAATTGTATAATTAATTTCTTTACTTCGGCGTCATACATAGAGACTGCCGCGTTACTCAAAAGCTATTGCACAATAACACATTACGACATTTTACTTCGTACGATCTTTATGTCGGACCCAACAACATGGAGTTACTGGGAGTGCCCGCCACAGTGTCTCTTATTATATATTATATATAAGGTATTCTGATTGAAAGATACCCAGTATTAGATTTTCTCACAAAAATGAACAAAATTTGGTCTAAACAGAACGGATATCACATGTAGTGGAAGAAAACGAATTGGAAATTAGAAATGATTCATGTGCTCTGTACAGGAAGAATGTTAATTGGATCTTTACAGAAATGATACTTATTCTGTGAGCAGGAAGAATGTTAATTGGATCACTACAGAAATCATATGTACTCTGTGAATGATTATGAATAGGATCAATATAAAATATATACATGTATTTACATAAAACTGACCTTGTTCACCATCTTCATGTACTGTTACAGAACTTGGGTCAAACCGAGATGAAGAAAAGCATCTGAACAAATTGATTTGATAATAAATAAATGAAATCACTATGTTGTATATATTGGGTGGCTCAGAAGAAAAAAAAAATATTGCTAATTTCAAATTTAAATAACTTCAACAATTTAAATAACTTCAACAATTTGAAGTTATTGCATTGAAATTTGAGGTATTTAAGGAAAATTGCATTTTTAATAATTGCTGTTAATTTCATGACACTTCCTTTCTTAGTTTTTGCACTGAAAAAATTAAAATGTTGAGTCAAAAAATGCTGTGCCCGTCTATGTGATTTTTGATAGATGTCAGCTAGGTCAGAGATTATTCTTATTTTACAGGGCACTATAGCTGTCATATTAATTTACTGCAGTAATTTCAGTGCTTATTTCTTTATTTCAGTATTAGTGCCAAGGACATAGCTTACATTGGACTGAGGGATTTAGATCCAGGAGAACTGTAAGTGAAACAGGTTGTGCTGAACTTGTAAATAGTAAAATCGTGTCCTGAACTTGTCCAGATTTAGTGAAGCTGAATTGCCTTTTTAACTTACTCTACGCAAAACTCAATCCAAAGATTCCTCAGTTCACACCCACGGGGTAAACATAGGGTTGTACATAGAAAAGATAAGTACACATAATGGCCAGTGATATGGTTTATTAGTCAAACATTGGGTGTAAATACATGATGTGAGGTTTTTAGCCAAAAACACTCCATATCTTTTGGAACCTGTATCTGTCTTCTTAATTCTCCCCCCCCCCCAATAACTTGGTCAAGAACCTGATCCCTGTTGCATATTCAGCTTAATACACTAATAGTAAGTCACACACTTGTTATATTTGGGGGTTTAAACAAAAATTTTAATTACAACATGGTAATTTACTTTCATTCACCATTACACAAGAAGTCCCATAGTTATACTTTCAAGAACCCTGCAGCTACATTGAGTCACTTCATGTTATTTAAGGACTGTACTGATAAAATCTTAATGTCAACCATGGGGATAAAAAATTCTAAATTATTTAAAATTACATAGTTAATTACTTAAACTCAGCATTGCACAAGAAGTCACAAAACTACGTACACATTGAAGAACTTTTCAGTGACATTTAGTCCCTCTATGTTACATAATTACTGAAATTGTATAATCTGCCCATGACAAGGTGTGGTTGCTTTTCTTTTAAAGAAATATTAATTGTTTATCCTGAGAATAAGGTGATGCAGGCTTGAGTAATTGTGTAGAAATATTTTCTCCTAATATGATTTTGAAAAATGTGTATGTGGCAATTTTGAAAGAAGAGTCAAAATCCTCCATTTTTCTGTCAGCAACTATATAACACCATATTCATTTATAATATTTTGTATTTTTAGGTGGATTGTGCGTAACATGGGTATAAGCTGCTTCACGATGCATGAAGTAGACAGATATGGTATTGACATGGTGCTGAGGATGTCCATGCAAGCCATCAATCCACAGTAAGTAGACAGATATGGTATTGACATGGTGCTGAGGATGTCCAAGTTAGCCATCAATCCACAGTAAGTAGACAGATATGGTATTGACATGGTGCTGAGGATGTCCAAGTTAGCCATCAATCCACAGTAAGTAGACAGATATGGTATTGACATGGTGCTGAGGATGTCCAAGTTAGCCATCAATCCACAGTAAGTAGACAGATATGGTATTGACATGGTGCTGAGGATGTCCAAGTTAGCCATCAATCCACAGTAAGTAGACAGATATGGTATTGACATGGTGCTGAGGATGTCCAAGTTAGCCATCAATCCACAGTAAGTAGACAGATATGGTATTGACATGGTGCTGAGGATGTCCAAGTTAGCCATCAATCCACAGTAAGTAGACAGATATGGTATTGACATGGTGCTGAGGATGTCCAAGTTAGCCATCAATCCACAGTAAGTAGACAGATATGGTATTGACATGGTGCTGAGGATGTCCAAGTTAGCCATCAATCCACAGTAAGTAGACAGATATGGTATTGACATGGTGCTGAGGATGTCCAAGTTAGCCATCAATCCACAGTAAGTAGACAGATATGGTATTGACATGGTGCTGAGGATGTCCAAGTTAGCCATCAATCCACAGTAAGTAGACAGATATGGTATTGACATGGTGCTGAGGATGTCCAAGTTAGCCATCAATCCACAGTAAGTAGACAGATATGGTATTGACATGGTGCTGAGGATGTCCAAGTTAGCCATCAATCCACAGTAAGTAGACAGATATGGTATTGACATGGTGCTGAGGATGTCCAAGTTAGCCATCAATCCACAGTAAGTAGACAGATATGGTATTGACATGGTGCTGAGGATGTCCAAGTTAGCCATCAATCCACAGTAAGTAGACAGATATGGTATTGACATGGTGCTGAGGATGTCCAAGTTAGCCATCAATCCACAGTAAGTAGACAGATATGGTATTGACATGGTGCTGAGGATGTCCAAGTTAGCCATCAATCCACAGTAAGTAGACAGATATGGTATTGACATGGTGCTGAGGATGTCCAAGTTAGCCATCAATCCACAGTAAGTAGACAGATATGGTATTGACATGGTGCTGAGGATGTCCAAGTTAGCCATCAATCCACAGTAAGTAGACAGATATGGTATTGACATGGTGCTGAGGATGTCCATGCTAGCCATCAATCCACAGTAAGTAGACAGATATGGTATTGACATGGTACTGAGGATGTCCATGGTAGCCATCAATCCTCAGTAAGTAGACAGATATGGTATTGACATGGTTCTGAGGATGTCCATGGTAGCCATCAATCCACAGTAAGTATAGACAGATATGGTATTGACATGGTGCTGAGGATGACCATGGTAGCCATCAATCCTCAGTAAGTAGACAGATATGGTATTGACATGGTTCTGAGGATATCCATGCAAGCCATCAATCCACAGTAAGTAGACAGATATGGTATTGACATGGTTCTGAGGATATCCATGCAAGCCATCAATCCATAGTAAGTAGACAGATATGGTATTGACATGGTACTGAGGATGTCCATGCAAGCCATCAATCCACAGTAAGTCACCATGCACATTGTATAAGAACAGTTGTCAGTATTGCAGTAGGTGTACTGACCAAGCACATCCACTGCACCTCATTTACATAATGACCTCAATTTGCATAACTGAACACTTTTTGGAAGTCACAGTCTTCAGTGAGCGCAGTGTGTCAGTCCTTAGTGAGTCTCACAGAGATAAGTGACAGAATCTGAATTTAGTGGAAAGAAGCATATTATGGTGGGTGAAATATTTATGTATATTATTTATTAAATGTATTTGTTTACAATGTTCTAATGATGTAAATGCTAGTTTGGCCATGTAGTGACTAAAATTCATTAAGTGAACTGGTGGCAATGCACTTCAGTTCAGTTTGGAAGGAAATATATTTCATAGCTCTGAATAATATCTATAGATAGTAAAAAAGGTGTTTGAAATATGAGTTAATTTGTATGCTAAACAATTAGTTTTAATTTGTGGTTTTTTGTGTTTAATTCATGGCAGTGTCTGACATTTAGGAAAAATAAAGGATTATGCCCATTGAACTTTGGCTTCTTTATTTTGTGGCCCTGATGTCAGTGATGAGCGACACGTTGAATTTCAGTATATTTTAGGTAGGCTACCCCCACAACACATTCATATTCACACACACACACACCATGTGCACTTGAGTATATTCATGCACATACATATGTACATTTATTCATGCGCATGCACTGATACATGGATTCCCTTTAGTCCCCACCTCACACATGAGTGTACATATTCCACATGACATGTATCTGTTCTACTATTTCCAGTGGAGACAGACCTATCCACCTGAGTTTTGATGTGGACTCTCTAGATCCCAGAATATCTGCTGCCACAGGGACCCCAGGTGATAATAACACTAATATACAGAAGACTAATTGTTCTCTTTACTAACATCCTGCAAGGCCACTGTAAAGCAAGCACAGCTCTCTGCCATATAACAATGTGCTGTTAAGATTTTTCCTTTCTCATCTTTAAAAAATTAACTTCAAAAGTTTGGTCTGTATTGTCTTGGACTGCGGACACATTGGTCTCTATAACTGGGCTCATGTATAGCTACTTGCTGGAAGAATTGGGGACATTCCATACATACTTACATAAACTCTATACTGCTATATCTAACAAAATGCGATAAATTTATATCCTTCAAAATGAAGTGTTTTCAAGTATGTAAATAAAGTATAACAGATGTAGATGATAGAAATAGTTTTTTTTTAATTTTCAATTTTACAGTTTGTTTCAATTTGCAATTTTGATGCAAAATTGATTTGATCTCCTTTAATTTCTTGGTTTTTTTCCTTTTCAGTTCCTGGTGGGTTGTCAGTTAGAGAAGGCATCTATATTGCTGAGGAGCTGGCAGCTACAGGTAAGACACTGAACTTTTGCTGCTACTTCTTTATTATTCCACACTACAAACTATACGTTGTACATTGCTGAGGAGCTGGCAGCTACAGGTAATACACTTAACTTTTGCTGCTACTTATTTATTATTCCACACTACAAACTGTACCTTGTACCAACTTTCCTACTCAAGTTAATGTCACATGTCACATGGTAATTATAAGTTGCTGCAGGCAGTACATTCAGTACAGTTGTTTTATTTCAAATTTTTTGAACATGCAAGTGCCAAAGATCAAATGTTCATTTCTGTCCCCCAGGCTGTACAGCTCCACGTTTTTACCTCCATTTGTTTGTTTGTTCTTCATCAGCCTAACTCAAAAAGTTATGGATGGATTTTGATAAAATCCCCAGGATATGTCAACAATGGGCTAACTCAAAATTGATACAATTTTAGTGGTGATCCATTAATTTATTTATGGTTAATTATTTGTTATTTGTCCTGGTGGAAGTCTGCACTCTCTGCTTGGTTTTTTAGTTTTGTACATAATTTAAAATACTTTAGAAAACCGGTAAACTGACAGCATTTGACCTTGTTGAAGTGAGCCCTTTGCTAGGAACCAAAGAGGAGAGAGATCTTACAGTGTATGCTGTATATATGTTTATATTCTCAGGTTTATCACTTTGTGTGTTATTTAATAAACTAGGTAAACTGACGGCAGTGGACCTTGTTGAAGTGAACCCTTTGCTAGGAACCAAAGAGGAGAGAGATCTTACAGTGTATGCTGTATATATGTTTATAATCTCAGGTTTATCACTTTGTGTTATTTAATATACCAGGTAAACTGACGGCAGTGGACCTTGTAGAGGTGAACCCTTTGCTAGGAACCAAAGAGGAGAGAGATCTTACAGTGTATGCTGCCACAGAGATTGCTAGGGCATGCTTTGGAAAGAAACGAGAGGGCAACATTCCCCCTGGCTACGTGCTGCCTAGACCGGACACTACCACAGTGGCGTCCTCAGCTAAATACGGGGAGGAAGTGGAAAGACCATAGGAACAGCAAGTCTCATCTGTGGCCTGTTCAGCTGCAAAAACCAAGCCAAACTGCTACTTTGTCTTATAATCTCCGATAGTATTCACATTATTTTTATCTTTGCACAGAACAAGCTTTACCTGGAAGTTTGGCAATTTTTTCATTAATGCCAAGGGATAAACTGGCATGAATTAGCTTACAAATAAAGATCAAATGTTAGGTTTTGAAAATCAAACCCAGAAAAATGTCATTCAGAGCTTAATGGAATTCTAGGCTACGCTAGTTTTCATGTTTTTTTTTTTACTGTGTAAGCCAATGGAGGTGTAGGTCATTTTTGGCTGAAAATTTTGAACTGAGTACATCACATTTTCAACATTTATTTTGGCTCATTTCACCAAGACCCCTTTGAAACAAGGTGTCACATTTCATTTTTATTATGATGCAGAATTTATATTTGCAGCATTGCATAAACATTCCTCGATTAGTTAAAAATTAGTAAGAGATTTCACTAGTATGCTTGTTTTTCAGCATTTATTTTTGTTTCTGATGTTATGTGGAACTTTACCTGACAAAGAGAGCAATTTCATTGCTTAAAGTTCCACATAACATCAGATAAATTGCTCTCTTTGTCAGGTAGTTTTCTACATGAACTACTCCAGTATTGTGTAAGTTGCCTCTTCTAAATACATGACTATAATGCCATCTGTTATTAGTTGCCACTGTCAAGTTATGGCTGTGTACTAGATATTCCACATTTAGATGTAGTGGCTTTAGCATTATAAGATTATATACATTTATACATAAACTTTATTGACCTGATTTTTTATGGATGTGGCTAGTCAACATATTTGGGTATGAATGCATGAAGTATTTTATTTTATTTACACTTTCTTGAAAAGAACTAATAAATCCATTTTTGCTTGTTTAGGTCTTGTGGAAAATGTTTCACTTGTGTCAATTTCTTCTTAGACAGTCTTTCAAGTACCGTTCCAGAGCATATTTCATGAAATGAAATTTTTAATTTCCTTCTGGCCCTATAAAATTTTCTGCTGTTATGAGTCTGTAGAGGAGGTCAAAGGTCAAGTCTCTCCTTCCACAATTACTGTTAAGAAATTGTTGCACCAAATTGATATTTGGTATCAAAGTGCTCCCCCATCATGCCTGGTTGTATAGAAACTGATGCTTCTCTGCAAATACAAGAGAAAATGTCAGTTTTCTCAGTAATGTTTTCTGCTGAATCCCCAACTACTGTTCCTTCATCTGGTGCTGTCAAGTCTGCTATAACATGATGCCCAACAAAATCCTTTCCTGCTGAGACAAATATCAGACCATCTTGAGAATCTTCAAATGAATACTGGGGGGCCCCTCACGTCATTGCAGTTTGCATGTGCTCATAGCCTGCACGCACCAAATACTGGAAGTTGTTGTTATTCCTCAGGTCAGACAGTTCATCTGCTGTCAGTAAACTTTCCACATCTGGTAGGTAGTCCATTACATCTGAACCTAAAAACAATTTATATGGACATCGAGCAGAAAATATAAACTGCATAAAACAAAATAGTCGAGCTCGTACAGATGACATAGATAATAAATTACTAGAAAAAAAGGAAGTATACTTTTGGGTAACTTCTTACACACTTAATCAAATCTTTGATATTTGTGTATTTTTATTTACCTTTTAACTACCCGTATCTGCATACAAGTGACAAATCATCGTGTAAAATGCAGTCTTCAGTTGCTATGTGCTTTATTTAAATATTACTGAAATGATCTAGAAAGCTTTCTTATTTAGAGGAATGAACTGTCATTCTACCCTGTCACTGCTTCTAACCCCTAAATGCATACCTTCAGTGTAGATGAGTTCCACTGTTTTGAAAAATATGGTTTCTCGGCTGTTTTCCAGGGGGTTGTCTGTCTGAATGTCCACCCAGCTACAATATTGTGATTATATATTTATATAAATACACACATAGTTACAAGAAGATCATCATTATAAATTGATATAAATACACAAACAGTTACAATTCTAGCCTTGGTAAGTGCACTGACACTGGCTAACTACTATCACATATGTAGATAAATGTAGATGTGACACAATAGTTGTTTTATATAATTCTTTCCACTGATTCAGAATCATGTATTAAGGTAAACAAACTACTGCAACAGGAAATTTTTCTTCACTGGAGAAATAAAAATTTGGTGCCAATGCATTATAAAGTCAGAATATTGTACTTTTCTAAAGAATATCTTCAACTTCTCTCTAGCATGCATAGAGAACTAATTGTTTCTTACTAAGTTTGTTATCTCACCAAGGAATGTATAGGGTTATTGTTTGAACACATACTTGTCTCTCCCTATGGCTTTACACCAGATGTGTAGTTTTAAGGCTTCACTGTCTACGTCTGGGGCATCCTGTTTAAAAAAAATAACACATACTCTGACTCACTGCTTTATCACAGTAACACTACAGTAGCAAACAAAATTTCAATTTGCAACAAATTTCTGATCATGATTACACCTTTGATCACTCCAAATTTTGCAAATTTGAAAATATTTCAAAATTGAAAAACAAGTGATAAAAATTTCTAAAATTCCGCTACTCTGCACAGCTATTGGTTCTTCAACAAGAAAAGGACACTTCTAATTTCCAGTATGTCATCCCAAGTCATCCTACTTACTTTATCAATATAACTGAGCAGACCCAAAGCCTTCTTGACCGAGTCATTCTACTTACTTTATCAATATAACTGAGCAGACCCAAAGCCTTCTTGACCGAGTCATTCTACTTACTTTATTAATATAACTGAGCAGACCCAAAGCCTTCTTGACCGAGTCATTCTACTTACTTTATCAATATAACTGAGCAGATCCAAAGCCTTCTTGAAGTCAAACTCATTGGCTTTCTCATTCACATCACTGACATACAGCTCTATTAATTGTTTGGGGCTAAAAACCTGCATGTTATCAGGATCTAAACCAAGATGCTGCAACAGAGAGAGAGAGAATGGCTGTGAACTGAGATATTAGATTGTGTGTTTGCCTGTGGGTTATGGAAGACAGCTAATGTTTGTTAGTTAATGAGAGTGAAGACATTTTACTAATATATTTGTATAATATATCAAAAGAAATGAACACTACTTCCCCGACTTCTTATATGATATTTAAAGAGCAGTTATGGTTACCTCTATAATATCCTGAGGAAGTGTTTCCTGGTGCAATAAGAGATTTAATTCTTCATTCAAATCTGTAAACAAATGTATTTAACTGTGGACTATTATGCTACTGCAATTTGAACATTTTCCAAGACCTTGTTCAGTGATACCATTATCAATATCACAATTACACAACTCACAATAAGCTACTAACTTTAAATTTAAAATTTATTCTGCTACCATGACTTCTGACAGCTTTCTGTACTTTATCAAATTTAAAGTTAAAACTTTAAGAGAAAGAGCAACCTTCCATAGCATCCTGTATTTTCTTGACCTTAAAATTTAACAAGACTTTAAGAGAGAGCTACCTTCCATAGCATCCTGTATTTTCTCGACATTAAAATTTAACAAGACTTTAAGAGAGAGCTACCTTCCATAGCATCCTGTATTTTATCCACAGGTTCATCGGCAGCCAATGCAGACAGCTTGCTCAAGCTCAGTAAGGTCTGAAATAAAAGTATTTACAAATGTACATTCATACCGCATTCATTTGTGGTGGTGACAATCCAAATCCTGAAATATTGTATGTTCTGTCACTCCTTTTGACTACATTCTTACTTCTGTGTCAATAGCTGCCTATTACATCACCAGCTCACAATTTTACAATTTTAGCAACCACACTTTCTGATTTCTTGATGGCAATTTTTTCTTAAGGCTTGCAATAATAAGGTAAAGGCGCGAAACTCCTGTCATGCTGTTTATGTTAGTTGCACAGTTCAACAATTTTTCTAATGTCAAAAATATATTTACTCTATGATACATGCCCTAATTCTTAAAATGATTCAAAAAAGAAATTCATTCTTCCTACCTTTTTCTTTGACAGATACTCAGTTTCATCAAGAGCCAGCTCCTTTAGATTCTTATGTGCCTGTGGAAAGAAACAAACCACTGTGTTACTTTACAGAGTCATCCTCTGACTGTTGCAATCACTCCACAGAACACTTTGTACAGCTGTGTTCATAAGTGTCACCTAACATCCTGGTCACTCTTAGCTCTTATATACCAGAGGTAGTACCTGCATAAACTCTCCTGTGTTAATCTTATATACCAGAGGTAGTACCTGCATAAACTCTCCTGTGTTAATCTTATATACCAGAGGCAGTAGCTGCATAAACTCTCCTGTGTTAATCTTATATACCAGAGGTAGTACCTGCATAAACTCTCCTGTGTAAATCTTATATACCAGAGGCAGTAGCTGCATAAACTCTCCTGTGTTAATCTTAAATACCAGAGGTAGTACCTGCATAAACTCTCCTGTGTTAATCTCGTGAAGCCAGCTGAGAAACTTGGTATTTTCTGCTTGTAAAAACCGTCCTAGTGCAGCATTGTGGACCAGGGGCTGGGTCAACAGTTTGCCCCTCTTGCCTGGGAAATAAACCAATCACAGAAAATGACTCAAAATGTTATATATATAAATATAAAAACAAATCACAGGTGACTCAAATTAGTATGTATAAAAACAACAGGTCACAGAAAATAATTGCCAGATATTTAAAACAGTGACAACTTTTTCAAAACTTAGGAAAAGGACTGTGAGAGTTATTTCATATAATAATAATAATAATAATAATAATAATAATAATAATAATAATAATAATAATAATAATCAATCAGATATTGCAACCAGGAGGGTTGAAGTTCTACATATATTTATTTAATTCACAAATTCAAAGGAGGCCTGGTTATTTTGGCCCTGTTGCACACTATAAGTTGTCACTCTCCCTTTTATTTTTTTATTTTATTTTATTTTTTTTGTACTGTAAAGTGAAACATTTCCTTAGAGTACAAAAGGTGAATCGGCTAGTAATCATGGCTGCATGAGTGAGGATCCCAGTAATGCGCATAGAGGTGTTAAGTGAAAGGGCAGAGACAATGGAATTGTCCAGAGCCACTTATTTGAGACAGATAATTAAACTCTACAATGAAATGGAAACCTTAATGCTTGAATTCCATAACTATCAGGCAGTGATCCAGTAAAAAGACAACTTGAATGAAGCCTTTGAGAAGCTGAAACCAATCCAATTAGAGTATGCTGATATTCTAAGCCATCATTTAAACCATACAAATATGGTTTATGCTAGTGTAGTTAAAAATAAACTGCAATTTGACCGAAGACTTCAAATGGAATGCATCTCGTCAGAGACAGCATCATTTAACAAACTGGTGGCACACAGACAGCTCCAGTTTCTCAAGGTTGTCTAAAGCCAGTGGTTGAGTCAGCAAGAAGATAAAAGAGTCAAAGGTGAAAGCCTAGGTTGCCAGGTTAAAACTCTAACAACTCTCCATAGAAGAGGACTTGAAGCCTAGGTTGCCAGGTTAAAACTCTAACAACTCTCCATAGAAGAGGACATGAAGCCTAGGTTGTCAGGTTAAAACTCTAACAACTCTCCATAGAAGAGGACATGAAGCATAAACAAATGATCTATGAACAGGAACAAGAGAGCAAAAGACATGAGGGTGAACAAGAATTCAAATGCAAAAGGCAAGAGAGTGAAAGTCAATCTAACCTACTGAAAGTTTGTCCCTAACCACAGCAGGACTGTAAGGCTACAGCAGGACTGTGTAAGACTACAGCAGGACTGTGTAAGACTACAGCAGGACTGTGTAAGACTACAGCAGGACTGTAAGACTACAGCAGGACTGTAAGGCTACAGCAGGACTGTAAGACTACAGCAGGACTGTAAGACTACAGCAGGACTGTGTAACACTACAGCAGGACTGTAAGGCTACAGCAGGACTGTGTAAGACTACAGCAGGACTGTAAGGCTACAGCAGGACTGTGTAAGACTACAGCAGGACTATGTAACATTAGCTCAACAAATCTGCCACACATACCTTCTTCCATGTACCACTTGAAGACAAAGTCTGAGAAACCCTGGAACAAAGCAAATCATTTGATAAGTCATTGAAATAACTATAGTTAAACTAGTCTCATTTAAACTATTTATAAGATGTTAGTTTGTAAAAATCTGAAAATTAAAACATACTAGATGTTTGGATGATATCTTATCATCATACCCAACTCCCATACTGTGTCATGTGAAAGCAATACTGATTCCCATACCATGCCATGTGAAAGCATACCTGATTCCCATACCATGTCATGTGAATCAATACTGATTCTCATACCGTGTCATGTGAAAGCATACCTGATTCCCATACCATGTCATGTGAAAGCAATGCCTGATTCCCATAACATGCCATGTGAAAGGATACCTGATTTCCATACTGTGTCATATATCGCTGCAGACGCTCCTGGTTGTTGCTCTCCTCACATATCTTGACCAAAATACCAAAGTCCAAATACTTCTCAGCCAAAGCTGCAGCTCTGTCATACTGCTCCAACTTTACTAAAGAGAAAATAAGTCATCTCATACTCTCAGCAGCTCAGTCATACTGCTCCAACTTTACTAAAGAGAAAATATGTCATCTCATACTCTCAGTCAAATTTGCATCTGTCTATCTTGTTGTAAACAGAGAAACAGGATGATTCAAACAAAAACACATTTGTAGATGAATCCATATTTGTAAAAGAAAAAGGTAAATAAGAAAGAAAAATCTAAACAGTGAAGCTGCCAAATATACAGATACTTAAAGTGAGTTTCAGTATTTTTCTCCTATTAACAAACCATGATAAAGAGTGTACTGATAGAATACTTACCAAATGGCATGATAAGGTTGTGTCTGGCCTGGGTATAGGATTGCTGGACCTCTAGCATGTGTTCTGTGTCCCCTGGCAGCATTCGTAGAGAGTCCAGCTGGCAGCGATATCCATCCAGCAACACATCAGTGATGTTCACCAGCTGCTGCAGGAGGGCGCCACGTGTCTGGACGTCTTGGGATTCACTTACAGCATGTTCCACCGTCAACTGGTGCTGTGAACACATAGAAATATAATCACATTAACTAACACTAACTGCATGTTCCACAGTCAACTGGTGCTGTGAATACACAGAAATATAATCACATTAACTAACACTAACAGCATGTTCCACAGTCAACTGGTGCTGTGAATACACAGAAATATAATCACATTAACTA